AGAAAAAATATTTATCACCAATCACTCCTGCTTAAATGACACAAAAAAGTGTTTATTTGTTCCAAACACTTACAGTGTATCCTATTTATCCTATTTATCAAGAGTATTTTGTCAACAAAGGATATCATAACAGGAAAAAGGTAACCAAAATTTATATGAAACATTAAAAAAGGAACAACTAGAGTGATTTTACTCAACCCATGAAACAGTATGTAAACAAACCTGTATGACACCGGCACGCATGTTTGATTGTTGGTTCTCCCCATGTTGTGTGTGGAAAACATGACATAAACCAAAAATTTTGTAATGCACAGTAGTTTATGACCAATTTCACTGGTTGGATAAAATCACTCTTCATATTCATCTACAATATCTTTTTGAGAAAGAAACTGTGACAAAGCCTTGACTTAGTATTAGCATGAATAATAGTTATTGCTCAATTGTCTTCTTTCGTGATGCTTGTTAATAGTGACAAGAAAGTAATGCTTGTTAATATTGTCATCTGTTAAAAATTTGATTAAATCTGAATTACTTAAGTTTTACAGTATATCTGTTCATTCCCATGCATTTCCATGTTTTAAGTGCATTCGAAAATCAAAACAATCAAATAGCTCGTACCCTGCATATGTTATGTATTCCAACTTGACATATCCAATATTAACCGCTATTTTCCATTTTTCATTGAATTCTTACAATTTATCCAGCAAGTAGAATATATCCCAACATGCCAAATCCAATCTTCACCCTAATTTTCCATTTTCTGAACCAACCTACGAGTGGATAATATCATAACTTTTCCATATCCAATCTTTATCCCGGTTTGTTCAAATAACTCTAGAAAAACGGGGTAAACCGCGACAATTCTTTCCACGAGTGGTTAATATCATGACTTGCAATGTCCAATCTGTCCCTGATTTTCCATTTGTTCAACGAATTCTAGAAAACGGGATAAGTTTTGACAATTCATCATGCAAGTGGAATATAACCTAAGTTGTGATGTCAAATATTTACCCAGATTTTCCTTTGTTTTAATAGATTAGTTCTAGAAAAATGGGGTAACAGTCTGAGAATTCATAATACCCTTAGCTCACATATGCTTTCTTTACTCCGAGTTTCCAATTTTGCCAAATCAAATCTTTAGCCCTAATTTTCCATTTTTTTCGTTTATTAGAGACAAGTAAAGTAAAATTTGACAATTAATCCCACGTGTGGGATACATCCTAGCTTTTCATAATCAATCTTCACCCCGATTTTCCGTTTGTTGAGTCAATTATGGAAAAACGGGGTAAAATCTGAGCACTTATCCTGTCAATGGAATACATCCTAACTTGCCATATTCAATCTTTGTCCCGGTTTTTTGCATTTTTCCAAGAATTCTGTAAAAATGGGGTAAAATCAGACAATTCATCCTGCAAGTGAAACATATCCCAACTTGTGGTTTGTAATCTTTACCCGATTTCCATTATTTTCAGAGAATTCTTGAAAAAAAATTCATCTCATAAAAAGAATATATCCCGACATGCCAAATGAATTTTTCAATGAATTCTGAAAACAGGCTAAATTGTGTCCATTCATCTTAAAATTGGAATAAATTATAACTCGGGACATCCCTCATTTTCCGTTTTTTTCTAATTAATTCCAGAAAAACGGTGTAAATTCTGAGAATTCATCCCGTATGTGGAATGCATTCTAAGTTTCCATATCCAGTCTTCAACCCGATCTTCCATTTTTATTTCAATGAGTTCCAGAAAAACGGGGTAAGTTATGAGAATTCATACCGTAAGTGGAATATATCCTAAGTTGTCACATCCAATCTTTGCCTGATTTTCCATTTTTTGACGAATTAATTCCAAAAAAACAGGGTAAACTCTTAGAATTCATGCTACAAGTGGATATTACCCGAAGTTCCCGAATGCCATCTTTTCTCAGATTTTACATTTTTTTTCGTGAATTCTAGAGAAGCGGGACAATTTCTTAGAATTCATCCCGCAAGTGGAATATAACCTACTTTGTCATGTCAAATCTTTCCTGATTTTCCATTTTTTAGTGAATTAATTCCAGAAAAACAGGGTAAACTCTGAGAATTCATGCTACAAGTGGATAAAACCTGTAGTTCCCATATGCCATCTTACTCTGATTTTTCAATTTTTTTCAAGGAATTATGGAAAAACGGGGCAAATTTTAGTAAATTATCCTCCAACTGGAATATGTCCTATTGACCTGCCACATCTAATCTAGTTTACCCCGATTTTCCATTTTTTTCAATGATTATAGAAAAACGGGATTCATTCTAAAAGTCATCCTCCAAGTGGAATTTATCCTACTGACTTGCCTTCCATTTTTTTTCAATAAATTCTAGCAAAACGGGTAAATTCTGAGAGAACATGCTACAAGTAGATAACACCTTTAGTTCCCATATGCCATCTTTACCCCAATTTTCCATTTCTTTTTTCAGCGATAAATTCTACGATTAGCACTAATCGTTAGCCCCCAAAATAAAGCAACGCACAATAACTTAATATGTATTTAGACGTTTTTTATAACGCCCGCTTTCAGTTATTATTAACTTCCATGGAAATTAAAAACTTAGGCACACCAACGTGCTATGTAATATACTGTTCCCCGTTAATTGTAGTCATTCTCTAAAGAAGTCTCAATTAGAGACGAAACGCGTCGGAAATAAACGAGGAGCTTACAACTACAAGAAGTGTTTCTTTGTGCGGCTCGCTAGTCTTAGTTAAAAATGAAAAAAGGAGGAAAAATTACAAATTTTAAAAAAAAGTTTCTTTTCTCAATGAATTCAAGAAAAGCGGGATGAATTCTGAGAATTCGTCCTTCAAGTGGAATAAATCCTAGGTTGCCAAATCCAATCTTTAATCCGATTTTGCATTTTTTTCTTTTTTTTCAATGAATTCTAGAATTACGGGGTAAATTTTGAGAATTTGGCCCGAAAGTAGCTAATACCGTAAGTTCCCATATGCCATCTTCACCCCAATTTTCCATTTGATCAGTGAATTTTAGAAAAAAAAAGAGGTAAATTGTGGATAATACCCGAAGTTCCCATATGCTATCTTTACCCCGATTTCCCAATTTTTTTTTCTGAAAATTCTATAGAATAACGGGGTAAAATCTGAGAATTCATCCTACAAATGGAATAGATCCTAGGTTGTCATATCCAATCTTCAACCCGATTTTCAATGCTTTTTTTCTCATCGAATTCTAGATAAACGGGATAAATTCTGCGAGTTCATCCGGCAAGTGATAGCAATATGCTAAGTTCCCATATGCCATCTTTACCCCGATTTTCCATTTGATCAGTGAATTCGAGAAAAACGGGGTAAATTCTAAGCATTCATACTACAAGTGAATAGTACCCTAAGTTCCCACATGCTATCTTCAACCCGATTTTCCATTTTTTCAATGAATTCTAGAAAAACGAGGTAAATTCTGCGAACTCATCCCGCAAGTGATGGCAATACGCTAAGTTCCCATATGCCATCTTTACCCCGATTTTCCATTTGATAAGTGAATTCGAGAAAAACGGGGTAAATTCTGAGCATTCATGCTACAAGTGAATAATACCCGAAGTTCCCATATGCTATTTTTACTCCGATTTTCCATTTTTTTCAGTGAATTTGACAAAAAACAGGGTAAAATCTGAAAAGTTATTCTCCATATGGAATAGATCCCAAGTTGCCATATCCAATCTTCAACCCGATTTTCCATTTTTTTTGCAATGAATTCTATAAAAACGGGGTAAATTCTGTGAAATTCATCCTTTAGGTGGATTCTATCCTACTGACTTGCCATAGTCACCTTTACCCCCATTTTTGGTTTGATCATTGTGTGAATTTTTCATAAACGGGGTAAATTATGACAAATCCACCCAAAAGTGCAATAAATCCTACAATAATTTAGAAACAGTACTAAAAAAAAACAGCTAAAATCAGCGGAACCGCAATAAAATCACAATCTACTACTTCAATTTTTTTAACGGAAGGCTTAGTGCGATACGGAAAAAACCAAAAGTACTCAAAATAAACAACTGGAGGCCAAATTTCTGTGATTGAAGGAAGACTTCGTGACGCAGACAAATAATCACAACTTGGACTTCTCAGTCGATCTCACCTCCGGCAGATTAGGTGAAGTGTCAAAAATATATAATTTTATGTCGACGAACCATAATCTATGATCTTCAACTATTAAAGAAAATAAAGCAATTGTGATATGACGCCACATTGTGCTTTCGTCTTAGCTTGTGGCTAAAATGTTGTCATTGAAGTCGCAAGTCGTGCAATGAAGACTGTAAATAAAGCAAGGCTGCAAATAAAACGTGAACAATAACGCATCCTTTAGTCGAAAGTCGCTTTGTTATTCACGCGCAGCAAATCGTTCCTCCAAGTTTAGGTTATAACAACGATGCGATCACTCTGCGTTAACGAACGATTGAACTTCAAGGAAAGTAATATGAGAGGCCAATGATCCGGTTCGCAGTGATCATGCGAACAGCATGTTTTCCTCAGATCAGTTACCGGAAAATACTGGTCAAATTTTCCACTTATCCTGACCCCTTGAATAGGGCGACCCTAAACAGTTCGGGCCATAACCATTTCTGGATATCGGTTTCGAGCTTTGTGATTGGGTGAGATCAAAACCAAAACAAAGCAAATTTGGCCGAGAGGTGCTGGAAACAACAAGAAGCTGATTTTTTTTTTTTTTTTTTTGTGGCGGCCATGTTGTAATGCGGTAGTAAGCTGAAACAAAATTCGCTAATAAGGACTGGACGTAAGATACCATTAAAAATATTCGTTTATTTCAAACATTCAACATGCATGTCCTCGACATTCTCGCATTCTGGAAGAGTAAAGCGGATTCTTTCTAGCACAAATTCTTTGTAACGCTGTGGTCTATCCACCAAGAGCGTCACAGGAATAAAAGCTCCTCCGCCAGCCTGTTTGTATCTGGAGAACTTCTGGGTAGAGCTTGGCCTCGATGTTAGTGTCCGTTCTCCGTTGATTTCCCTATTTTGGGTTACAAGAAAACCAATTAAATAAGGTTGAACCAAATAACGCGCACTGATAACAATTGGGACGAGTGAGGTGTGAGATCGCGGAATCGGGACAATTTCATTTCTCTCCAGTATAGGTCGAGGAAAGACAATATCTTGTTTCTCTCCGATTTTTAAATAGACATTATCAATTTCAGTCCATCAAGCCTTTACGAAAAAGTAACAGTAAAGCAAGAAAACAGTAACTTACCCTTCAATTCCTGGTTATTTTGCCACATCGAAGCAAAGCATGCAGCTGTATGTTTAGAAAGTGCTGAACCGTGCCGATCTGCTGCCCTTTGACATCTCCTAAAGTGTTTGTCTTTCTCTGCGATTTGCTGAAAATCTGGACTGCTCGTAGAGCCTCTGGAATGCGTTCCATTTCTCGTGGAAGAAGACAAGCCAGTGCATGCGAGTCATACGTGTTGTCGTCTTCACTTTGAATAACAAGCGGTGTTCCACGTGGAGCTTTGATCTTGAAATTATGATACCTGGAAAATAAACGCCAATAAACACATGAGTGGGATAAAATAAAATCAAGTAGTCACAATCTATATTAAGACGAATACACATGATTGAATTCAATGCAAGAGAATCATTCAAGGTATTTTGCGCGCTATTGATCGATTCGCGGGAGAATCTAGGTCTCAGAACACTACAAATTCGGTCCTACAGCTTTTAGTCAGCAATAATATGTCCTTTACAATTACCCTTTGATTTGAACACCCTGTATAGTTTGTTTAGGTAATCACTGCAAAGTGTGAAAGCACGAGCGGTGTTTCTAAACGAGTTTCACAATTACAGACAAGTCCCTTGTGGTTTTAGACGAAAATTTCACTCTCATCAGTTCGTGTAGTTAAACACCAACCTTTGTATCCAGATTGCTGTAATAGAGACACTTCGGCAAGGCTTTCCACCAATGTGATTTCTTTATTTTCATCTTCATGCCGCTCTTATCGCACATTTCCCGGATACGATACCTGAAGATGTGAGAGCTCAGTGAACGAATACCTCTTTGTTTTATGTTTGCCCGAAGGAGAACTTACTCGCTAGATAATCACATTTATGTGTTAGATCCGTGGTTTCCTGAAATTATTTTTTAGTGTGCATTCGCCTTGGCTGAATGAATCTCTCTGATGTCAAGATCGACATTGATTCGAAATTTCATCCAGAGCTCCGATTTAAAAGATTCTTTGTTTGTAGCACTGACCCAGGTTTGTGGCAGATTTGTGCCACAAAGACGACAAAGTGTCTCGAGATACTGAATGTGTTCATCCATGCTGTTGGCTTGATCTGAAATTCACAATGTAGGCTTATAAAGGTGCGATAAATAATTGTCCTTTTACTTTAAATTTGCCGGCCACAACGTATGGTTAAAATTTATGGTTTACACGATACTCCGATGGATCTGAACAAAGGAATCCGTCTGGTAGTTTGCACACTAACAGACTTTCAACATTCGTGCACTCGAGCAAAAACCTCGTGCACTCGATTGGAATTTTGACAAATTGGAAGCAAATTTATTCTAGTTTTTTAAAAGATTTTTTTTAGGAATCAAAAAAAATGTTGCATACCTGAAAACCTCAACTAAATAGAGGTTATTCCTCGATCGAGCCCTTCGCAACATGGACCTCCACCCGACTTTTCATCTGAATTTTTCCTTCTCGTCATCGCGACCACCATTAGTTCTTTGCTTGTTGTGTGTAATTGCTTGTCTTCTGTAATTTTGCAAGGTTTCATGGGATATGGGTCGGGACCTAAGTCGCTAGGGCTCGAATAAAGTAATGAGTGAGTTCCCTCGATGTAGCCATCCATCCAACCAATCCATCGCTCGATAAATCGCAGGATTATGATTGGCCACTGTATCACATACGTCGACGAAATATCTACAACTAGTTATAGTTCTCACTAGAGCTGCCCCCGCCCTACAGTACCATTTTTCTATGTAGTTTTGGGAAGTGCTTGGGATGTTTTTTTTTGCTGTGTGGTTCAACTTAGGATTTGTTTGTTCTTCACGATCAAGAAGAAGCAGAATGTAGGGGTGAGTTTTGACATTGGAATGTTATAGGTGGCAGACTTGCCTCTGACAAATCCAGAAATTGCCGAGTCTTTCGGCTTTGTGCAATAAGCTTGATTTGCGGCTGACAAATCGGAGTTAACCGAGTCTTTCGGTCAAAATGCTAAACTTACACCGTCTTCTGAGCATCGGTGAAATTATTTCTGTATTAACTTCTGTATAACACAAATGAAACTCTAACTCTGAGAATAATCCAACATCAAAGCAAGCGAGTTAGAAGCTCAACTTTTTCATGTATTTGATATCTGGTTATACTTTAATTATGCTGCAAGTTCTTTGCTTTAAGTTCTCACGTTAGCTGACTGAGCTGTGGACCCTCCGCCGCCTTCGATCGAGACTTCACACAACTGTTTCTCTTTTGACGGATTTTGATCACCTTTTAAACTCAAAACTACCTTTAATTGTTAGAAAGATGCTATACACACTTACCGTTGGACTTGGAAACGCTTCTCGACGCTTTTCAGGGACGCTTAACTCGAAATCTCGACAAGGACAAAGCTTGTATCAAAGACGCCGATCCCAATAGTACTCGCGCGCGTTTTTGCTGGCCGCCCATGACCATTTGCGGGAAAAACGTTGATACCTTGCGGCCGTGCAAGCGATCAAATCGAGATTTTTTCTGGTTATGATCTACCGAGCAGAGGGGCATTTTGTTGCGCATGCGCCAAGAAAATTTGTTCGGCGCGTTCGGCGCCATTTTGATATTTTCAGCGCGCTTTTGCGGGTTTTCAACTGAGCGATCGACACCTTTCTGTGATATTTTTTGGAGAGGGATGGAAGAGTATGACTAGTTTACCACCATTTCTAACTCTGTGGATACTTGTGGAGTTTGCTGGCTCTTCGGATGAGGATATTTTAATGATCAAAGTGCGAACAAATCGCGAAGAAAGGTCTAAAACTTGAAGTTTGAGATTTGATTTGCTGACGATCAAGATGTGTACATGAGACTACAAACCTTGAAGGTTAGTCTTAAGATGTTGATGTCTTACTTCTATGAATCACGAAGTGATGTGTGGAGGCGATCGTGAGATATTCGTTACGATAATAGAAGGTAGTTTTAGGTAAAATTACGTTAACTTGGAGGTGGCCCCCAAGCTTCAAATCACTTCAAATAATATCTTCTCTTCTTTCTCTTTGTTGTCCCATTGGACACAAGGCTTAAAAAAATGTTCCAGCTTCAGGATTGAGTTGCTCTTTCTACAACCTTCGGCGAATTCGTTTTTGGGAGGTTGAGGTGGATTTTCCAAGTCATGGCTCACAACTGTCTTTGGCTATTTTGCTCTCCAAGTCTGTTGTACTTGGTACGTAGGCATGTGTCTTAACAACGTTTATAGTCTTGCCTCGATCATCTGCGGTTTTATCTAATTTTGTTGCTGTGTTTTGATGAGAATTTTTCTGATTACCTTTTTGGGCTTGAAGGGCTACCTAGAGGATAAACTTCGGTAGAACTTGTTTTATCACATGGCCCCCAAATCCCTCACCACTGTCAGTTCATTGTTTATTTATTTAGCTTTCGGTCTAACCAGTTCATTTACCTCAAAAAAATGCGTGGGCTTTGTCTCATGAGTTTAAACTGGTGCCGTTTTCTTCATGTTCATGTGTTATTCGAAACGGATGGCGTCAGCTTCATTCTATCTTGTTTATTTCAGTAGAATACTTCTGCCATACGAAATGAATTTTTAGTCGAAGTGTACTATAAAACTCGCAGATTAAAATTATCTAACTTTCTCTGCTTCTTAAAACATGAGGTGAGCGATACAACAAATGAATAATTACTCAAGGGGCTGGAACTCCTTGTTTCTTTAGAATGTGAACTACAGTATTTCTGTCATATTTGAAAACGAATTTCGGGTCAAAATGTCTTCAAACCAGTTTGACTTGTATTTCTCTTTGCCAGATAAGTCTTGATCCTTCAATTTTTATTTCTTAATTGAGACTGATGATTGGAATTAACTATTGTGTTCTCTGCTGTTTAGGGAGATGTGAAGTGACCCCACTACATATGGTTGGTACTATTGACAGAAAGGATAGGTGTGACATTTGCTGTGGCAAGCTGGCATTCAAGAGAATGTCATTAGTACCAGAAGCTTACTACTGGTATAAATTATCAATCTTTTGTTCTCTCCACACAACTTGCCTCAACTAGCTTATGCTATATGCAACTTGTGTCTATACTTTTTTTGCAACTATAAAATTACCAATAAAGTTTTTTGAAAGTTTTGTCCAAATTTCATGGGAAAAGAATATGAGGAGTGATCAGGTGAAATATTGTCCTGTTCCTTAAGAGTGTTTGAGCTTCCAGTCAGAGCTATAAAATTTCTTAAGCAACTGATTTATGATTTTCTGCCTTAAAATTAGCACAGCCAAACCCCTGGCTTGAAAACTATTAATTTCTGCAAATAGGCATCCAAGCTGATGCCCATTACTGCAGAATATGCAATGTCAAAATCCCCTTTTGACTTAAGTCTCATTTCTCTAAAATCTGATAGATGTAAAGCATCCATTTTCATAAAGAGATCAACAAACCTCTTCACATTAGTTTAATCTGACCTCACTGAGTCTTATTTCTGAAAAGAAAAGGCTTTTTTTTATTTTTTATCCTCACTGTTAAATATTTGCCTTACTGGTTCTTTGTTGTTTGGCATGTGTAAGAGTCTTTTCAGACCGTCAAATTGTCACACAACTCTTGTAATTTAATAGGTTGGAGAATAAGGTTGCAAAGAGTGTATATGATTTTTTTGTGCAGTTGAAATGATAAATGATAGTGATTTTCACTGGGTAATAATTGATTTATTTAACTATTCATCTTACAACTGGAAGCCCAAAGTAGTACTTGTTTTCTTTCACAATTTCCCCACATCATCGATCATATCTGATGATATTTCCAAGACTAATGATTCAACAGACTTTATCTTACTCTGATAAAATCCATAATTATTCCTCCATTTCTAACCAGATGGAGCTACCATATCTCTAGCATTAGCATTGTCTTACTTTTCTTTACTTGACATTGACCTTTTTTATTTTGGTAATCGGCCCTGCCGGTTGTGATTCACGTCAAAAAAAAACTTTTGAAACAAAACATAAACCTCTGTTAACTTTACATTTTTGCCAAAATTGGAGGTACACTGCACTAGCAGTACAGTTGAAGCTCTAAAAAACGCTTACAGAAAGGCGAGGACTTCAAATGATCACTGATAACTTGAGATAGCAATGACACGATAAAAGTATACTATCCAATTCTTTTGTACTCTTCGACAGGCCACTTGCATCCTTCAAAAATAACATCATCTTCATCGATCGCCCAGACAATCACGAGACAAGACTCGAACAATCTTTTGCATTCTGAAAATAACTTCCTTCCACACATCACACAATAATTTCAAGGATTTGCCACTTCCATCTACGTTACAGAAGAAAAAATGAGAATAAAGGTTGTCTCAAGTACTCGAACCATTGTTTTTTCCGACGTATTTTACTGCTTCTTTTCTTTCGTGATTCTCGAGAGGGAAACCGGTGCAGGCGCATACCAGCGGTTTCTCGTATCAAACTAAAATTTACCGGACATGCGCAACAAAATGCCCCCTGCTGTGATCTAGCGAACACACCTCCATTTTCTTTTCTCCAGTCTTCCTAAATATTACGCGGAGAGTCCTAAATAAGCGCAGCATCACGACTTGTAACATCACGACTCGATCACTGTTCAGTGCCCTGCGAAAAGCAGTAATCAGGCCATTCGTAAGTCTAATCACTGTACGATGTCGAATTTGGTTAAAATCTGAGTTGTCCAGAGTTGAGGATGCAACGATTCAACACTAGGTAAGTTCTATTGTTCTTTGTGTTCATTTCGGAAAGTCTGTTTTCTTTAACAGTGTAGACCTGAGTAATTTTTAACAACGACTACGTGTTAGATCGACATGATCCAAGCCATTAATTCAGTCACTGCATGAAGATTATACAACAACGACTACGTGTTAGATCGACATGATCCAAGCCATTAATTCAGTCACTGCATGAAGATCATACAACAACTCTCGGTTTTGATTCACCTTAATTCGCTTGGTTTGATGAGCGTTCTTTGCGAAATGTACCTTTATCAGGGTATTAAAGCCTTGTAGGGAGTTTTGTCTTATTGTGAAATGTAAGCAGATGTGCTTGTGGAATGTATCTTGATGTAATGGTAGCTTTTGTAGTCTCCTTATTGAGTCGAATTCATGAGATTTTTCGCTCTTCCGACTCAGACTCCCGAGCGCTTTAACAGCCTAGACCTTCCGACTCTCCCGCACGTTACCGATGACTTTCGAAGATATTGAATACTCAAACTCGACCTTAAGCGCCGTTTGCATTAGGCACGAGAGTTGGTAGTTCTATATTAGCTACCACTTGCTTGTACGAGAAGCACAAGGGTGTGCTATAAAATTAAAGGAATGCGTAGGCAATGTCATGATATAGAGTGTTGAGATACAAAGATCCCATCGAAGACGTGAGATTTAGGACCAAAGTGTTCCCTGAGTGTTCCCTGTAGACAGCTGAACTAGGACATGAAAAGATGGCACCTATTCTTTGTTGTTCTCATGGTCAACCCGAGGTTATTTTA